CTTTTCAGGTAAGTATTGTGCCGCTTCAGCTATTTGGTTTAAAATTGTACAGTAGCATCTCTTGAAGAATCAAACTCTTATCTCAAACAATCAATGACAACGCAGAGTGAGCTTTTCAGGTAAGTATTGTGCTGATTCAGCCATGTGGTTTAAAATTGTAAAGTAGCATCTCTTGTATATTTCAGCAGCATGGAGTTTGTCCACCACCCTAGTTTGGGCAGAATTGATAAAGCATTCCAATTTCTTTGCCAGAAGGCTCAATGTTCAATATTAGCTTGGGCATTGGCTGGGAATCGAACCCAGGTCTCCAACATGGCAAGCTAGAATTCTACCACTGAACCACCAATGCTTGTCTTTAAGTTCAAAGGACTTCACAGAGTGTGATTTGCAGCTAACCATACTGCAGAATTGATAAGTTTAATGAAGTTCTGTGAGTGAAGACTAAATATTCAATATTCACTTGTTCATTGGCTGGGAATCGAACCCAGGCCTCCAACATGGCAAGCTAGAATTCTACCACTGAACCACCAACGCTTACCTTCAAGCTCAAACGACTTCTCAGAGTGTGATTTGCAGCTAACCAATCTGCAGAATTGATCAGGCTTTTGAAGTTCTGTGAGTGAAGGATTAATATTCAGAACTCAGTTGTGCATTGTGCAAGGCCTGGTACATGGCATTTGAGAATTCTACCACTAAACCATCAATCCTTCCTTATCTTAAAGAATCAATGACTTTGCAGAGTGTGCTTTTCAGGTAAGTATTGTGCCGCTTCAGCTATTTGGTTTAAAATTGTACAGTAGTATCTCTTGAAGAATCAAACTCTTATCTCAAACAATTAATGACAACGCAGAGTGAGCTTTTCAGGTAAGTATTGTGCCGCAACAGCTATTTGGTTTAAAATTGTACAGTTGCATCTCTTGAAGAATCAAACTCTTATCTCAAACAATCAATGAGAACGCAGAGTGAGCTTTTCAGGTAAGTATTGTGCTGATTCAGCCATGTGGTTTAAAATTGTAAAGTAGCATCTCTTGTATATTTCAGCAGCATGGAGTTTGTCCAAAACCCTAGTTTGGGCAGAATTTATAAAGCATTTCAATTTCTTTGCCAGAAGGCTCAATGTTCAAAATTCACTTGTGAATTGGCTGGGAATCGAACCCAGGTCTCCAACATGGCAAGCTAGAATTCTACCACTGAAACACCAATGCTTACCTTCAAGTTCAAAAGACTTCTCAGAGTGTGATTTGCAGCTAACCAAACTGCAGAATTGATCAGGCTTTTGAAGTTCTGTGAGTGAAGGATTAATATTCAGAACTCAGTTGTGCATTGTGCAAGGCCTGGTACATGGCTTTTGAGAATTCTACCACTAAACCATCAATCCTTCCTTATCTTAAAGAATCAATGACTTTGCAGAGTGTGCTTTTCAGGTAAGTATTGTGCCGCTTCAGCTATTTGGTTTAAAATTGTACAGTAGCATCTCTTGAAGAATCAAACTCTTATCTCAAACAATCAATGACAACGCAGAGTGAGCTTTTCAGGTAAGTATTGTGCTGATTCAGCCATGTGGTTTAAAATTGTAAAGTAACATCTCTTGTATATTTCAGCAGCATGGAGTTTGTCCACCACCCTAGTTTGGGCAGAATTGATAAAGCATTTCAATTTCTTTGCCAGAAGGCTGAATGTTCAAAATTCGCTTGTGCATTGGCTGGGAATCGAACCCAGGTCTCCAACATGGCAAGCTAGAATTCTACCACTGAACCACCAATGCTTGTCTTTAAGTTCAAAGGACTTCACAGAGTGTGATTTGCAGCTAACCATACTGCAGAATTGATAAGTTTAATGAAGTTCTGTGAGTGAAGACTAAATATTCAAGATTCACTTGTGCATTGGCTGGGAATCGAACCCAGGCCTCAACATGGCAAGCTAGAATTCTACCACTGAACCACCAATGCTTACCTTCAAGCTCAAAACGACTTCTCAGAGTGTGATTTGTAGCTAACCAAACTGCAGAATTGATCAGGCTTTTGAAGTTCTGTGAGTGAAGGATTAATATTCAGAACTCAGTTGTGCATTGTGCAAGGCCTGGTACATGGCATTTGAGAATTCTACCACTAAACCATCAATCCTTCCTTATCTTAAAGAATCAATGACTTTGCAGAGTGTGCTTTTCAGGTAAGTATTGTGCCGCTTCAGCTATTTGGTTTAAAAATTGTACAGTAGTATCTCTTGAAGAATCAAACTCTTATCTCAAACAATTAATGACAACGCAGAGTGAGCTTTTCAGGTAAGTATTGTCGCCGCAACAGCTATTTGGTTTAAAATTGTACAGTTGCATCTCTTGAAGAATCAAACTCTTATCTCAAACAATCAATGAGAACGCACGAGTGAGCTTTTCAGGTAAGTATTGTGCTGATTCAGCCATGTGGTTTAAAATTGTAAAGTAGCATCTCTTGTATATTTCAGCAGCATGGAGTTTGTCCAAAACCCTAGTTTGGGCAGAATTGATAAAGCATGTCAATTTCTTTTGCAGAAGGCTCAATGTTCAAAATTCGTGTGCATTGGCTGGGAATCGAACCCAGGCCTCCAACATGGCAAGCTAGAATTCTACCACTGAACCACCAATGCTTACCTTCAAGTTCAAACGATTTCTCAGAGTGTGATTTGCAGCTAACCAATCTGCAGAATTGATCAGGCTTTTGAAGTTCTCTGATTGAAGGATTAACATTCAGAACTCAGTTGTGCATTGTGCAAGCCCTGGTACATGGCATTTGAGAATTCTACTACTAAACCATCAATCCTTCCTTATCTTAAAGAATCAATGACTTTGCAGAGTGTGCTTTTCAGGTAAGTATTGTGCGCTTCAGCTATTTGGTTTAAAATTGTACAGTAGCATCTCTTGAAGAATCAAACTCTTATCTCAAACAATCAATGACAACGGAGAGTGAGCTTTTCAGGTAAGTATTGTGCTGCTTCAGCCATGTGGTTTAAAATTGTAAAGTAGCATCTCTTGTATATTTCAGCAGCATGGAGTTTGTCCACCACCCTAGTTTGGGCAGAATTGATAAAAGCTTGTCAATTTCTTTGCGAGAAGGCTGAATGTTCAAAAATTTGCTTGTGCATTGGCTGGGAATCAAACCCAGGTCTCCAACATGGCAAGCTAGAATTCTACCACTGAAACACCAATGCTTACCTTCAAGTTCAAAAGACTTCTCAGAGTGTGATTTGCAGCTAACCAAACTGCAGAATTGATCAGGCTTTTGAAGTTCTGTGAGTAAAGGATTAATATTCAGAACTCAGTTGTGCATTGTGCAAGGCCTGGTACTGTAGCTTTTGAGAATTCTACCACTAAACCATCAATCCTTCCTTATCTTAAAGAATCAATGACTTTGCAGAGTGTGCTTTTCAGGTAAGTATTGTGCCGCTTCAGCTATTTGGTTTAAAATTGTACAGTAGCATCTCTTGAAGAATCAAACTCTTATCTCAAACAATCAATGACAACGCAGAGTGAGCTTTTCAGGTAAGTATTGTGCTGATTCAGCCATGTGGTTTAAAAATTGTAAAGTAGCATCTCTTGTATATTTCAGCAGCATGGAGTTTGTCCACCACCCTAGTTTGGGCAGAATTGATAAAGCATTCCAATTTCTTTGCCGAGAAGGCTCAATGTTCAATATTAGCTTGGGCATTGGCGGGAATCGAACCCAGGTCTCCAACATGGCAAGCTAGAATTCTACCACTGAACCACCAATGCTTATCTTTAAGTTCAAATTATTTTATTTTTTGTAGAAAAAAAAATTTTTTTTTTGGGAAAAAACCCCCCCCCCTCCAAAATTTTCCCCCTAACCCCCCCCCCCACCTTCAAGCTCAAACGCACTTCTCAGAGTGTGATTTGCAGCAAACAATCTGCAGAATTGATCAGGCTTTTGAAGTTCTGTGAGTGAAGGATTAATATTCAGAACTCAGTTGTGCATTGTGCAAGGCCTGGTACATGGCATTTGAGAATTCTACCACTAAACCATCAATCCTTCCTTATCTTAAAGAATCAATGACTTTGCAGAGTGTGCTTTTCAGGTAAGTATTGTGCCGCTTCAGCTATTTGGTTTAAAATTGTACAGTAGTATCTCTTGAAGAATCAAACTCTTATCTCAAACAATTAATGACAACGTAGAGTGAGCTTTTCAGGTAAGTATTGTGCCGCAACAGCTATTTGGTTTAAAATTGTACAGTTGCATCTCTTGAAGAATCAAACTCTTATCTCAAACAATCAATGAGAACGCATGAGTGAGCTTTTCAGGTAAGTATTGTGTATTCAGCCATGTGGTTTAAAATTGTAAAGTAGCATCTCTTTTGCAGCATGGAGTTTGTCCAAAACCCTAGTTTGGGCAGAATTTATAAAGCATTTCAATTTCTTTGCCAGAAGGCTCAATGTTCAAAATTCGCTTGTGAATTGGCTGGGAATCGAACCCAGGTCTCCAACATGGCAAGCTAGAATTCTACCACTGAAACACCAATGCTTACCTTCAAGTTCAAAAGACTTCTCAGAGTGTGATTTGCAGCTAACCAAACTGCAGAATTGATCAGGCTTTTGAAGTTCTGTGAGTGAAGGATTAATATTCAGAACTCAGTTGTGCATTATTGCAAGCCCTGGTACATGGCTTTTGAGAATTCTACCACTAAACCATCAATCCTTCCTTATCTTAAAGAATCAATGACTTTGCAGAATGTGCTTTTTTCAGGTAAGTATTGTGCCGCTTCAGCTATTTGGTTTAAAATGTACAGTAGCATCTCTTGAAGAATCAAACTCTTATCTCAAACAATCAATGACAACGGAGTGAAGCTTTGCTAGGTAAGTATTGTGCCGATTCAGCCATGTGGTTTAAAATTGTAAAGTAGCATCTCTTGTATATTTCAGCAGCATGGGGTTTGTCCACCACCCTAGTTTGGGCAGAATTGATAAAGCTTTTCAATTTCCTTTGCCAGAAGGCTGAATGTTCAAAATTCGCTTGTGCATTGGCTGGGGATCAACCCCAGGTCTCCAACATGGCAAGCTAGAATTCTACGGGTCACCTAACCACCAATGCTTACCTTCAAGCTCAAAACGACTTCTCAGAGTGTGATTTGTAGCTAACCAAACTGCAGAATTGATCAGGCTTTTGAAGTTCTGTGAGTGAAGGATTAATATTCAGAACTCAGTTGTGCATTGTGCAAGGCCTGGTATATGGCATTTGAGAATTCTACCACCACTAAACCATCAATCCTTCCTTATCTTAAAGAATCAATGACTTTGCAGAGTAAAAAAAAAAAAAAAAAAAGTGCTTTTCAGGTAAGTATTGTACCGCTTCAGCTATTTGGTTTAAAATTGTACAGTAGTATCTCTTGAAGAATCAAACTCTTATCTCAAACAATTAATGACAACGGAGTGAGCGCAACAGAGTTTAAAAATTGTACAGTTGCATTTTGAAGAATCAAACTTACTCAAACAACAATGAGAAGAGAGACTTTTCAGGTAAGTATTGTTGATTCAGCATGTGGTTTAAAATTGTAAAGTAGCATCTCTTGTATATTTCAGCAGCATGGAGTTTGTCCACCAACCCTAGTTTGGGCAGAATTGATAAAGCTGTCAATTTCTTTGAGGAAGGCTGAATGTTCAAAATTTGTCGCATGGCTGGGAATCAAACCCAGGTCTCCAACATGGCAAGCTAGAATTCACCACGAACCACAATGCTACCTTCAGTTCAAACGACTTCTAGAGTGTGATTTGCACTAACCAAATCTGCAGAATACAGTTTGAAAAAGAAAAAAAAAAAAAAAAGAGAGAAAAGAAAAAAAAAAAAAAAAAAAGTTCTGGGTGAAGGATTATTCAGAACTCAGTTGTGCATTGTGCAAGGCCTGGTACATGGCTTTTGAAATTCTACCACTAAACCATCAATCCTTCTATCTTAAAGAATCAGACTTGCAGAGTGTGCTTTTCAGGTAAGTATTGTGCCGCCAGCTTTTGGTTTAAAATTGTACAGTTGCATCTCTTGGAAGAATCAAACTCTTATCTCAAACAATCAATGAGAACGCATGAGTGAGCTTTTCAGGTAAGTATTGTGCTGATTCAGCCATGTGGTTTAAAATTGTAAAGTAGCATCTCTTGTATATTTCAGCAGCATGGAGTTTGTCCACAACCCTAGTTTGGGCAGAATTGATAAAGTATTCCAATTTCTTTGCGAGAAGGCTCAATGTTCAAAATTAGCTTGGCATTGGCTGGGAATCGAACCCAGGTCTCCAACATGGCAAGCTAGAATTCTACCACTGAACCACAATGCTTGCTTTAAGTTCAAAGACTTCACAGATTTGCAGCTAACCAAGGATTGATAAGTTTAGTTTGTGGTGAGAAAATGTTTGGCGGAACATCCAACACAAGCTAGAATTTACCATGAACCACCAACGCTTACCTTCAAGCTCAAACGCTTCTCAGAGTGATTTGCAGCTAACCAATCTGCAGAATTGATCAGGCTTTTGAAGTTCTCTGAGTGAAGGATTAATATTCAGAACTCAGTTGTGCATTGTGCAAGGCCTGGTACATGGCATTTGAGAATTCTACCACTAAAACCATCAATCCTTCCTTATCTTAAAGAATCAATGACTTTGCAGAGTGTAAAAACACCGCTCACCATTTAAAAATGTACAGTAGATCTCTTAAGAACAAACACCCAAACACCACACAACAGCTTTTCAGGTAAGTATTGTGCCCTTCAGCTATTTGGTTTAAAATGTACAGTAGTATCTCTTGAAAGAATCAAACTCTTTATCTCAAACAATCAATGACAACGCAGAGTGAGCTTTTCAGGTAAGTATTGTGCTGCATCAGCTATGTGGTTTAAAATTGTACTCTTAACAACCAAACTCTATCTCAAACAATCAATGAGAACGCAGAGTTATCTTTTCATTTAATTATTTTTCTGATTCAGCCATTTTGTTTAAAAAAGTAGCATCTCTTGTATATTTCGCATGAGTTTGTCCACCACCCTAGTTTGGGCAGAATTTATAAATTTGCATTTCAATTCTTTGCCGAAGGCTCAATGTTCAAAATTTGCTTGTGCATTGGCTGGGAATCAAAACCCAGGTCTCCAAGCATGGCAAGCTAGAATTCTACCACTGAAACACCAATGCTTACCTTCAAGTCCTCAAAAGACTTCTCAGAGTGTGATTTGCAGCTAACCAAACTGCAGAATTGATCAGGCTTTTGAAGTTCTGTGAGTGAAGGATTAATATTCAGAACTCAGTTGTGCATTGTGCAAGGCCTGGTACATGGCTTTTTGAGAATTCTACCACTAAAACCATCAACTCCTTCCTTATCTTAAAGAATCAATGACTTTGCAGAGTGTGCTTTTCAGGTAAGTATTGTGCCGCTTCAGCTATTTGGTTTAAAATTGTACAGTAGCATCTCTTTGAAGAATCAAACCTTTTATCTCAAACAATCAATGACAACACCTATGAGTGAGCTTTTCAGGTAAGTATTGTGCTGATTCAGCCATGTGGTTTAAAATTGTAAAGTAGCATCTCTTTGTATATTTCAGCAGCATGGAGTTTGTCCACCCCATCTAGTTTGGGCAGAATTGATAAAGCATTCCAATTTCTTTGCCAGAAGGCTCAATGTTCAAAATTAGCTTGGGCATTGGCTGGGAATCGCAACCCAGGTCTCCAACATGGCAAGCTAGAATTCTACCACTGAACCACCAATGCTTGTCTTAAGTTCAAAGGACTTCACAAGTGTGATGCAGAACCATACGGTGGTGTTAAATATTAGTCACTCCAACGTCTCATTCAAGCCCCTCCATAAACCGAGCTTTAAGCTGTGAGTGAAGATTAATATTCAGACCGTTGTGCATTGTGCGGCCTGGTACATGGCATTTGAGAATTCTACCACTAAACCATCAATCCTTCCTTATCTTAAAGAATCAATGACTTTGCAGAGTGTGCTTTTCAGGTAAGTATTGTGCCGCTCAGCTATTTGGTTTAAAATTGTACAGTAGTATCTCTTGAAGAATCAACCTCTATCTCAAACAATTAATGACAACGCAGAGTGAGCTTTTCAGGTAAGTATTGTGTCATAACAGCTATTTGGTTTAAAATTGTACAGTTGCATCTCTTGAAGAATCAAACTCTTATCTAAAACAATCAATGGAACGCAGAGTGAGCTTTTCAGGTAAGTATTGTGCTGATTCAGCCATGTGGTTTTAAAATTGTAAAGTAGCATCTTTGTATATTTCAGCAGCATGGAGTTTGTCCAAAACCCTAGTTTGGGCAGAATTTATAAAAGCATTTCAATTTTTTGCCAAGGCTCAATGTTCAAAATTGCTTGTATTGGCTGGGAATCGAACCCAGGTCTCCAACATGGCAAGCTAGAATTCTACCACTGAAACACCAACTGCTTACCTTCTAAGTTCAAAAGCTTTCAGAGTGTGATTTGTAGCTAACCAAACTGCAGAATTGACCTCAGGCTTTTGAAGTTCTGTGAGTGAAGGATTAATATTCAGAACTCAGTTGTGCATTGTGCAAGCCTGGTACATGGCTTTTGAGAATTCTACCACCAAACCATCAACTCTTCCTTATCTTAAAGAATAATGACTTTGCAGAGTGTGCTTTTCAGGTAAGTATTGTGCCGCTCAGCTACTTGGTTTAAAAATTGTACAGTAGCATCTCTTTGAAGAATCAAACTTTGTCTCAAACAATCAATGACAAACGCAAAAATTGTACAGTAGCATCTCTTGAAGAATCAAACTCTTATCTCAAACAATCAATGACAGCGAGTGAGCTTTTCAGGTAAGTATTGTGCGCAACAGCTATTTGGTTTAAAATTGTACAGTTGCATCTCTTGAAGAATCAAACTCTTATCTCAAACAATCAATGACAAAGAGAGTGAGCTTTTCAGGTAAGTATTGTGCTGATTCAGCCATGTGGTTTAAAATTGTAAAGTAGCATCTCTTGTATATCTCAGCAGCATGGGTTTGTCCAAAACCCTAGTTTGGGCAGAATTGATAAAAAGCATGTCAATTTCTTTGAGAGGCTCCATGTTCAAAATTTGCTTGCATTGGCTGGGAATCGACCCAGGTCTCCAACATGGCAAGCTTAGAATTCTACCACTGAAACACCAATGCTTACCTTCAAGTTCAAAAGACTTCTCAGAGTGTGATTTGCAGCTAACCAAACTGCAGAATTGATCAGGCTTTTGAAGTTCTGTAGTGAAGGATTAATATTCAGAACTCAGTTGTGCATTGTGCAAGGCCTGGTACATGGCATTTGAGAATTCTTCCACTAAACCATCAATCCTTCCTTATCATAAAGAATCAATGACTTTGCAGAGTGTGCTTTTCAGGTAAGTATTGTGCGCTTCAGCTATTTGGTTTAAAATTGTACAGTAGCATCTCTTGAAGAATCAAACTCTTATCTCAAACAATCAATGACAACGCAGAGTGAGCTTTTCAGGTAAGTATTGTGCTGATTCAGCCATGTGGTTTAAAAATTGTAAGTAGCATCTCTTGTATATTTCAGCAGCATGGAGTTTGTCCACCACCCTAGTTTGGGCATTGATAAAGCATGTCAATTTCTTTGAGAAGGCTCAATGTTCAAAATTGTGCATTGGCTGGGTATCGAACCCAGGTCTCCAACATGGCAAGCTAGAATTCTACCACTGAAACACCAATGCTTACCTTCAAGTTCAAGCGACTTCTCAGAGTGTGATTTGCAGCTAACCAAACTGCAGAATTGATCAGGCTTTTGAAGTTCTGTGAGTGAAGGATTAACATTCAGAACTCAGTTGTGCATTGTGCAAGGCCTGGTACATGGCATTTGAGAATTCTACCACTAAACAATCAATCCTTCCTTATCTTAAAGAATCAATGACTTGGCAGGGTGTGCTATTCAGGTAAGTATTGTGCCGCTTCAGCTATTTGGTTTAAAATTGTACAGTAGCATCTCTTGAAGAATCAAACTCTTATCTCAAACAATCAATGACAACGCAGAGTGAGCTTTTCAGGTAAGTATTGTGCTGATTCAGCCATGTGGTTTAAAATTGTAAAGTAGCATCTTTTGTATATTTCAGCAGCATGGAGATTGTCCAACACCCTAGTTTGGGCAGAATTGAGAAAGCATGTCAATTTCTTTGCCAGAAGGCTCAATGTTCAAAATTCGCTTGTGCATTGGCTGGGAATCAAACCCAGGTCTCCAACATGGCAAGTTAGAATTCTACCACTGAACCACCAACGCTTGTCTTTAAGTTCAAAGGACTTCACAGAGTGTGATTTGCAGCTAACCATAGTGCAGAATTGATAAGTTTAATGAAGTTCTGTGAGTGAAGACTAAATATTCAAAATTCACTTGTGCATTGGCTGGGAATCTAACCCAGGCCTCCAACATGGCAAGCTAGAATTCTACCACTGAACTACCAATGCTTACCTTCAAGTTCAACCAACTTCTCAGAGTGTGATTTGCAGCTAACCAAACTGCAGAATTGATCAGGCTTTTGAAGTTCTGTGATTGAAGGATTAATATTCAGAACTCAGTTGTGCATTGTGCAAGGCCTGGTACATGGCATTTGAGAATTCTACCACTAAACCATCAATCCTTCCTTATCTTAAAGAATCAATGACTTTGAAGAGTGTGCTATTCAGGTAAGTATTGTGCCGCTTCAGCTATTTGGTTTAAAATTGTACAGTAGCATCTCTTGAAGAATCAAACTCTTATCTCAAACAATCAATGACAACGCAGAGTGAGCTTTTCAGGTAAGTATTGTGCCGCTTCAGCTATTTGGTTTAAAATTGTACAGTAGCATCTCTTGAAGAATCAAACTCTTATCTCAAACAATCAATGACAACGCAGAGTGAGCTTTTCAGGTAAGTATTGTGCTGATTCAGCCATGTGGTTTAAAATTGTAAAGTAGCATCTCTTGTATATTTCAGCAGCATGGAGTTTGTCCAACACCCTAGTTTGGGCAGAACTGATAAAGCCTGTCAATTTCTTTGCGAGAAGGCTCAATGTTCAAAATTCGCTTGTGCATTGGCTGGGTATCGAACCCAGGTCTCCAACATGGCAAGCTAGAATTCTACCACTGAAACACCAATGCTTACCTTCAAGTTCAAACGACTTCTCAGAGTGTGATTTGCAGCTAACCAAACTGCAGAATTGATCAGGCTTTTGAAGTTCTGTGAGTGAAGGATTAACATTCAGAACTCAGTTGTGCATTGTGCAAGGCCTGGTACATGGCATTTGAGAATTCTACCACTAAACAATCAATCCTTCCTTATCTTAAAGAATCAATGACTTGGCAGGGTGTGCTATTCAGGTAAGTATTGTGCCGCTTCAGCTATTTGGTTTAAAATTGTACAGTAGCATCTCTTGAAGAATCAAACTCTTATCTCAAACAATCAATGACAACGCAGAGTGAGCTTTTCAGGTAAGTATTGTGCTGATTCAGCCATGTGGTTTAAAATTGTAAAGTAGCATCTTTTGTATATTTCAGCAGCATGGAGATTGTCCAACACCCTAGTTTGGGCAGAATTGAGAAAGCATGTCAATTTCTTTGCCAGAAGGCTCAATGTTCAAAATTCGCTTGTGCATTGGCTGGGAATCAAACCCAGGTCTCCAACATGGCAAGTTAGAATTCTACCACTGAACCGCGCCAACGTCTTTAAGTTCAAAGGACTTCACAGAGTGTGATTTGCAGCTAACCATAGTGCAGAATTGATAAGTTTAATGAAGTTCTGTGAGAGAAGACTAAATATTCAAAATTCACTTGTGCATTGGCTGGGAATCTAACCCAGGCCTCCAACATGGCAAGCTAGAATTCTACCACTGAACTACCAATGCTTACCTTCAAGTTCAACCAACTTCTCAGAGTGTGATTTGCAGCTAACCAAACTGCAGAATTGATCAGGCTTTTGAAGTTCTGTGATTGAAGGATTAATATTCAGAACTCAGTTGTGCATTGTGCAAGGCCTGGTACATGGCATTTGAGAATTCTACCACTAAACCATCAATCCTTCCTTATCTTAAAGAATCAATGACTTTGAAGAGTGTGCTATTCAGGTAAGTATTGTGCCGCTTCAGCTATTTGGTTTAAAATTGTACAGTAGCATCTCTTGAAGAATCAAACTCTTATCTCAAACAATCAATGACAACGCAGAGTGAGCTTTTCAGGTAAGTATTGTGCCGCTTCAGCTATTTGGTTTAAAATTGTACAGTAGCATCTCTTGAAGAATCAAACTCTTATCTCAAACAATCAATGACAACGCAGAGTGAGCTTTTCAGGTAAGTATTGTGCTGATTCAGCCATGTGGTTTAAAATTGTAAAGTAGCATCTCTTGTATATTTCAGCAGCATGGAGTTTGTCCACCACCCTAGTTTGGGCAGAATTGATAAAGCATGTCAATTTCTTTGCGAGAAGGCTCAATGTTCAAAATTCGCTTGTGCATTGGCTGGGTATCGAACCCAGGTCTCCAACATGGCAAGCTAGAATTCTACCACTGAAACACCAATGCTTACCTTCAAGTTCAAACGACTTCTCAGAGTGTGATTTGCAGCTAACCAAACTGCAGAATTGATCAGGCTTTTGAAGTTCTGTGAGTGAAGGATTAACATTCAGAACTCAGTTGTGCATTGTGCAAGGCCTGGTACATGGCATTTGAGAATTCTACCACTAAACAATCAATCCTTCCTTATCTTAAAGAATCAATGACTTGGCAGGGTGTGCTATTCAGGTAAGTATTGTGCTGATTCAGCCATGTGGTTTAAAATTGTAAAGAATCGAACCCAGGTCTCCAACATGGCAAGCTAGAATTCTACCACTGAAACACCAATGCTTACCTTCAAGTTCAAAAGACTTCTCAGAGTGTGATTTGCAGCTAACCAAACTGCAGAATTGATCAGGCTTTTGAAGTTCTGTGAGTGAAGGATTAACATTCAGAACTCAGTTGTGCATTGTGCAAGGCCTGGTACATGGCATTTGAGAATTCTACCACTAAACAATCAATCCTTCCTTATCTTAAAGAATCAATGACTTGGCAGGGTGTGCTATTCAGGTAAGTATTGTGCCGCTTCAGCTATTTGGTTTAAAATTGTACAGTAGCATCTCTTGAAGAATCAAACTCTTATCTCAAACAATCAATGACAACGCAGAGTGAGCTTTTCAGGTAAGTATTGTGCTGATTCAGCCATGTGGTTTAAAATTGTAAAGTAGCATCTCTTGTATATTTCAGCAGCATGGAGATTGTCCAACACCCTAGTTTGGGCAGAATTGATAAAGCATGTCAATTTCTTTGCCAGAAGGCTCAATGTTCAAAATTCGCTTGTGCATTGGCTGGGAATCAAACCCAGGTCTCCAACATGGCAAGCTAGAATTCTACCACTGAACCACCAACGCTTGTCTTTAAGTTCAAAGGACTTCACAGAGTGTGATTTGCAGCTAACCATAGTGCAGAATTGATAAGTTTAATGAAGTTCTGTGAGTGAAGACTAAATATTCAAAATTCACTTGTGCATTGGCTGGGAATCTAACCCAGGCCTCCAACATGGCAAGCTAGAATTCTACCACTGAACTACCAATGCTTACCTTCAAGTTCAACCAACTTCTCAGAGTGTGATTTGCAGCTAACCAAACTGCAGAATTGATCAGGCTTTTGAAGTTCTGTGATTGAAGGATTAATATTCAGAACTCAGTTGTGCATTGTGCAAGGCCTGGTACATGGCATTTGAGAATTCTACCACTAAACCATCAATCCTTCCTTATCTTAAAGAATCAATGACTTTGAAGAGTGTGCTATTCAGGTAAGTATTGTGCCGCTTCAGCTATTTGGTTTAAAATTGTACAGTAGCATCTCTTGAAGAATCAAACTCTTATCTCAAACAATCAATGACAACGCAGAGTGAGCTTTTCAGGTAAGTATTGTGCCGCTTCAGCTATTTGGTTTAAAATTGTACAGTTGCATCTCTTGAAGAATCAAACTCTTATCTCAAACAATCAATGACAACGCAGAGTGAGGTTTTCAGGTAAGTATTGTGCTGATTCAGCCATGTGGTTTAAAATTGTAAAGTAGCATCTCTTGTATATTTCAGCAGCATGGAGTTTGTCCACCACCCTAGTTTGGGCAGAATTGATAAAGCATGTCAATTTCTTTGCCAGAAGGCTCAATGTTCAAAATTCGCTTGTGCATTGGCTGGGAATCAAACCCAGGTCTCCAACATGGCAAGCTAGAATTCTACCAGTGAAACACCAATGCTTACCTTCAAGTTCAAACGACTTCTCAGAGTGTGATTTGCAGCTAACCAGACTGCAGAATTGATCAGGCTTTTGAAGTTCTGTGAGTGAAGGATTAATATTCAGAACTCAGTTGTGCATTGTGCAAGGCCTGGTACATGGCATTTGAGAATTCTACCACTAAACAATCAATCCTTCCTTATCTTAAAGAATCAATGACTTTGCAGAGTGTGCTTTTCAGGTAAGTATTGTGCCGCTTCAGCTATTTGGTTTAAAATTGTACAGTAGCATCTCTTGAAGAATCAAACTCTTATCTCAAACAATCAATGACAACGCAGAGTGAGCTTTTCAGGTAAGTATTGTGCTGATTCAGCCATGTGGTTTAAAATTGTAAAGTAGCATCTCTTGTATATTTCAGCAGCATGGTGTTTGTCCACCACCCTAGTTTGGGCAGAATTGATAAAGCATGTCAATTTCTTTGCCAGAAGGCTCAATGTTCAAAATTCGCTTGTGCATTGGCTGGGAATCAAACCCAGGCCTCCAACATGGCAAGCTAGAATTCTACCACTGAACCACCAATGCTTACCTTCAAGTTTAAACGATTTCTCAGAGTGTGATTTGCAGCTAACCAAACTGCAGAATTGATCAGGCTTTTGAAGTTCTGTGATTGAAGGATTAATATTCAGAACTCAGTTGTGCATTGTGCAAGGCCTGGTACATGGCATTTGAGAATTCTACCACTAAACCATCAATCCTTCCTTATCTTAAAGAATCAATGACTTTGCAGAGTGTGCTATGTCAGGTAAAGTATTGTGCCGCTTCCGCTATTTGGTTTAAAATTGTACAGTAGCATCTCTTGAAGAATCAAACTCTTATCTCAAACAATCAATGACAACGCGAGTGAGCTTTTCAGGTAAGTATTGTGCCGCTTCAGCTATTTGGTTTAAAATTGTACAGTTGCATCTCTTGAAGAATCAAACTCTTATCTCAAACAATCAATGACAACGCAGAGTGAGCTTTTCAGGTAAGTATTGTGCTGATTCAGCCATGTGGTTTAAAATTGTAAAGTAGCATCTCTTGTATATTTCAGCAGCATGGAGTTTGTTTTCTACCAGTAAAACACCAATGCTTACCTTCAAGTTCAAACGACTTCTCAGAGTGTGATTTGCAGCTAACCAAACTGCAGAATTGATCAGGCTTTTGAAGTTCTGTGATTGAAGGATTAATATTCAGAACTCAGTTGTGCATTGTGCAAGGCCTGGTACATGGCATTTGAGAATTCTACCACTAAACCATCAATCCTTCCTTATCTTAAAGAATCAATGACTTTGCAGAGTGTGCTATTCAGGTAAGTATTGTGCCGCTTCAGCTATTTGGTTTAAAATTGTACAGTAGCATCTCTTGAAGAATCAAACTCTTATCTCAAACAATCAATGACAACGCAGAGTGAGCTTTTCAGGAAAGTATTGTGCCGCTTCAGCTATTTGGTTTAAAATTGTACAGTTGCATCTCTTGAAGAATCAAACTCTTATCTCAAACAATCAATGACAACGCAGAGTGAGCTTTTCAGGTAAGTATTGTGCTGATTCAGCCATGTGGTTTAAAATTGTAAAGTAGCATCTCTTGTATATTTCAGCAGCATGGTGTTTGTCCACCACCCTAGTTTGGGCAGAATTGATAAAGCATGTCAATTTCTTTGCCAGAAGGCTCATTGTTCAAAATTCGCTTGTGCATTGGCTGGGAATCGAACCCAGGCCTCCAACATGGCAAGCTAGAATTCTACCACTGAACCACCAATGCTTACCTTCAAGCTCAAACGACTTCTCAGAGTGTGATTTGCAGCTAACCAAACTGCAGAATTGATCAGGCTTTTGAAGTTCTGTGAGTGAAGGATTAATATTCAGAACTCAATTGTGCATTGTGCAAGGCCTGGTACATGGCATTTGAGAATTCTACCACTAAACCATCAATCCTTCCTTATCTTAAAGAATCAATGACTTTGCAGAGTGTGCTATTCAGGTAAGTATTGTGCCGCTTCAGCTATTTGGTTTAAAATTGTACAGTTGCATCTCTTGAAGAATCAAACTCTTATCTCAAACAATCAATGACAACGCAGAGTGAGCTTTTCAGGTAAGTATTGTGCCGCTTCAGCTATTTGGTTTAAAATTGTACAGTAGCATCTCTTGAAGAATCAAACTCTTATCTCAAACAATCAATGACAACGCAGAGTGAGCTTTTCAGGTAAGTATTGTGCCGCTTCAGCTATTTGGTTTAAAATTGTACAGTTGCATCTCTTGAAGAATCAAACTCTTATCTCAAACAATCAATGACAACGCAGAGTGAGCTTTTCAGGTAAGTATTGTGCTGATTCAGCCATGTGGTTTAAAATTGTAAAGTAGCATCTCTTGTATATTTCAGCAGCATGGAGTTTGTCCAACACCCTAGTTTGGGCAGAATTGATAAAGCCTGTCAATTTCTTTGCGAGACGACTCATTGTTCAAAATTTGCTTGTGCATTGGCTAGGAATCGAACCGAGGCCTCCAACATGGCAAGCTAGAATTCTACCACTGAACCACCAATGCTTACCTTCAAGTTCAAACGATTTCTCAGAGTGTGATTTGCAGCTAACCAATCTGCAGAATTGATCAGGCTTTTGAAGTTCTGTGATTGAAGGATTAATATTCAGAACTCAGTTGTGCATTGTGCAAGGCCTGGTACATGGCATTTGAGAATTCTACCACTAAACCATCAATCCTTCCTTATCTTAAAGAATCAATGACTTGGCAGAGTGTGCTTTTCAGGTAAGTATTGTGCCGCTTCAGCTATTTGGTTTAAAATTGTACAGTAGCATCTCTTGAAGAATCAAACTCTTATCTCAAACAATCAATGACAACGCAGAGTGAGCTTTTCAGGTAAGTATTGTGCCGCTTCAGCTATTTGGTTTAAAATTGTACAGTTGCATCTCTTGAAGAATCAAACTCTTATCTCAAACAATCAATGACAACGCAGAGTGAGCTTTTCAGGTAAGTATTGTGCTGATTCAGCCATGTGGTTTAAAATTGTACAGTTGCATCTCTTGAAGAATCAAACTCTTATCTCAAACAATCAATGACAACGCAGAGTGAGCTTTTCAGGTAAGTATTGTGCTGATTCAGCCATATGGTTTAAAATTGTAAAGTAGCATCTCTTGTATATTTCAGCAGCATGGAGTTTGTCCACCACCCTAGTTTGGGCAGAATTGATAAAGCATGTCAATTTCTTTGCGAGAAGGCTCAATGTTCAAAATTCGCTTGTGCATTGGCTGGGAATCGAACCCAGGTCTCCAACATGGCAAGCTAGAATTCTACCACTGAAACACCAATGCTTACCTTCAAGTTCAAACCACTTCTCAGAGTGTGATTTGCAGCTAACCAAACTGCAGGATTGATCAGGCTTTTGAAGTTCTGTGAGTGAAGGATTAATATTCAGAACTCAGTTGTGCATTGTGCAAGGCCTGGTACATTACATTTGAGAATTCTACCACTAAACCATCAATCCTTCCTTATCTTAAAGAATCAATGACTTGGCAGAGTGTGCTTTTCAGGTAAGTATTGTGCCGCTTCAGCTATTTGGTTTAAAAGTGTACAGTAGCATCTCTTGAAGAATCAAACTCTTATCTCAAACAATCAATGACAACGCAGAGTGAGCTTTTCAGGTAAGTATTGTGCCGCAACAGCTATTTGGTTTAAAATTGTACAGTTGCATCTTTTGAAGAATCAAACTCTTATCTCAAACAATCAATGACAACGCAGAGTGAGCTTTTCAGGTAAGTATTGTGCCGCAACAGCTATTTGGTTTAAAATTGTACAGTTGCATCTCTTGAAGAATCAAACTCTTATCTCAAACAATCAATGACAACGCAGAGTGAGCTTTTCAGGTAAGTATTGTGCTGATTCAGCCATGTGGTTTAAAAGTGTAAAGTAGCATCTCTTGTATATTTTAGCAGCATGGAGTTTGTCCGAAACCCTAGTTTGGGCAGAATTGACAAAGCATGTCAATTTCTTTGCGAGAAGGCTCAATGTCCAAAATTCGCTTGTGCATTGGCTGGGAATCGAACCCAGGCCTCCAACATGGCAAGCTAGAATTCTACCACCGAACCACCAATGCTTACCTTCAAGTTCAAACGATTTCTCAGAGTGTGATTTGCAGCTAACCAATCTGCAGAATTAATCAGGCTTTTGAAGTTCTGTGATTGAAGGATTAATATTCAGAACTCAGTTGTGCATTGTGCAAGGCCTGGTACATGGCATTTGAGAATTCTACCACTAAACAATCAATCCTTCCTTATCTTAAAGAATCAATGACTTTGCAGAGTGTGCTTTTCAGGTAAGTATTGTGCCGCTTCAGCTATTTGGTTTAAAATTGTACAGTAGCATCTCTTGAAGAATCAAACTCTTATCTCAAACAATCAATGACAACACAGAGTGAGCTTTTCAGGTAAGTATTGTGCTGATTCAGCCATGTGGTTTAAGATTGTAAAGTAGCATCTCTTGAAGAATCAAACTCTTATCTCAAACAATCAATGACAACGCAGAGTGAGCTTTTCAGGTAAGTATTGTGCCGCTTCAGCTATTTGGTTTAAAATTGTACAGTTGCATCTCTTGAAGAATCAAACTCTTATCTCAAACAATCAATGACAACGCAGAGTGAGCTTTTCAGGTAAGTATTGTGCCGCTTCAGCTATTTGGTTTAAAAGTGTACAGTAGCATCTCTTGAAGAATCAAACTCTTATCTCAAACAATCAATGACAACGCAGAGTGAGCTTTTCAGGTAAGTATTGTGCCGCAACAGCTATTTGGTTTAAAATTGTACAGTTGCATCTCTTGAAGAATCAAACTCTTATCTCAAACAATCAATGACAACGCAGAGTGAGCTTTTCAGGTAAGTATTGTGCCGCAACAGCTATTTGGTTTAAAATTGTACAGTTGCATCTCTTGAAGAATCAAACTCTTATCTCAAACAATCAATGACAACGCAGAGTGAGCTTTTCAGGTAAGTATTGTGCTGATTCAGCCATGTGGTTTAAAAGTGTAAAGTAGCATCTCTTGTATATTTTAGCAGCATGGAGTTTGTCCGAAACCCTAGTTTGGGCAAAATTGACAAAGCATGTCAATTTCTTTGCGAGAAGGCTCAATGTCCAAAATTCGCTTGTGCATTGGCTGGGAATCGAACCCAGGCCTCCAACATGGCAAGCTAGAATTCTACCACTGAACCACCAATGCTTACCTTCAAGTTCAAACGATTTCTCAAAGTTGTGATTTGCAGCTAACCAATCTGCAGAATTGATCAGGCTTTTGAAGTTCTGTGATTGAAGGATTAATATTCAGAACTCAGTTGTGCATTGTGCAAGGCCTGGTACATGGCATTTGAGAATTCTACCACTAAACAATCAATCCTTCCTTATCTTAAAGAATCAATGACTTTGCAGAGTGTGCTTTTCAGGTAAGTATTGTGCGCTTCAGCTATTTGGTTTAAAATTGTACAGTAGCATCTCTTGAAGAATCAAACTCTTATCTCAAACAATCAATGACAACGCACGAGTGAGCTTTTCAGGTAAGTATTGTGCTGATTCAGCCATGTGGTTTAAAATTTGTGAAGTAGCATCTCTTGTATATTTCAGCAGCATGGAGATTGTCCAACACCCTAGTTTGGGCAGAATTGATAATGCATGTCAATTTCTTTTGCCAGAAGGCTCAATGTTCAAAAATCGCTTTGCATTGGCTGGGAATCGAACACAGTCCTCCAACATGGCAAGCTAGAATTCGACCACTGAACCACCAATGCTTACCTTCAAGCTCAAACGACTTCTCAGAGTGTGATTTGCAGCTAACCAAACTGCAGAATTGATAAGTTTAATGAAGTTCTGTGAGTGAAGACTAAATATTCAAAATTCACTTGTGCATTGGCTGGGAATCGAACACAGTCCTCCAACATGGCAAGCTAGAATTCGACCACTGAACCACCAATGCTTACCTTCAAGCTCAAACGACTTCTCAGAGTGTGATTTGCAGCTAACCAAACTGCAGAATTGATCAGGCTTTTGAAGTTCTGTGAGTGAAGGATTAATATTCAGAACTCAGTTGTGCATTGTGCAAGGCCTGGTACATGGCATTTGAGAATATCTACCACTAAACAACAATCCTTCCTTATCTTAAAGAATCAATGACTTTGCAGAGTGTGCTTTTCAGGTAAGTATTGTGCCGCTTCAGCTATTTGGTTTAAAATTGTACAGTAGCAACTTTCTTGAAGAATCAAACTCTTATCTCAAACAATCAATGACAACGCAGAGTGAGCTTTTCAGGTAAGTATTGTGCTGATTCAGCCATGTGGTTTAAGATTGTAAAGTAGCATCTCTTGAAGAATCAAACTCTTATCTCAAACAATCAATGACAACGCAGAGTGAGCTTTTCAGGTAAGTATTGTGCTGATTCAGCCATGTGGTTTAAAATTGTACAGTAGCATCTCTTGAAGAATCAAACTCTTATCTCAAACAATCAATGACAACGCCGAGTGAGCTTTTCAGGTAAGTATTGTGCCGCTTCAGCTATTTGGTTTAAAATTGTACAGTTGCATCTCTTGAAGAATCAAACTCTAATCTCAACCAATCAATGACAACGCAGAGTGAGCTTTTCAGGTAAGTATTGTGCTGATTCAGCCATGTGGTTTAAAATTGTAAAGTAGCATCTCTTGTATATTTCAGCAGCATGGAGTTTGTCCAACACCCTAGTTTGGGCAGAATTGATGAAGCATGTCAATTTCTTTGCGAGACGACTCATTGTTCAAAATTCGCTTGTGCATTGGCTAGGAATCGAACCGAGGCCTCCAACATGGCAAGCTAGAATTCTACCACTGAACCACCAATGCTTACCTTCAAGTTCAAACGATTTCTCAGAGTGTGATTTGCAGCTAACCAATCTGCAGAATTGATCAGGCTTTTGAAGTTCTGTGATTGAAGGATTAATATTCAGAACTCAGTTGTGCATTGTGCAAGGCCTGGTACATGGCATTTGAGAATTCTACCACTAAACCATCAATCCTTCCTTATCTTAAAGAATCAATGACTTGGCAGAGTGTGCTTTTCAGGTAAGTATTGTGCCGCTTCAGCTATTTGGTTTAAAATTGTACAGTAGCATCTCTTGAAGAATCAAACTCTTATCTCAAACAATCAATGACAACGCAGAGTGAGCTTTTCAGGTAAGTATTGTGCTGATTCAGCCATGTGGTTTAAGATTGTAAAGTAGCATCTCTTGAAGAATCAAACTCTTATCTCAAACAATCAATGACAACGCAGAGTGAGCTTTTCAGGTAAGTATTGTGCCGCTTCAGCTATTTAGTTTAAAATTGTACAGTAGCATCTCTTGAAGAATCAAACTCTTATCTCAAACAATCAATGACAACGCAGAGTGAGCTTTTCAGGTAAGTATTGTGCCGCTTCAGCTATTTGGTTTAAAATTGTACAGTTGCATCTCTTGAAGAATCAAACTCTTATCTCAAACAATCAATGACAACGCAGAGTGAGCTTTTCAGGTAAGTATTGTGCTGATTCAGCCATGTGGTTTAAAATTGTAAAGTAGCATCTCTTGTATATTTCAGCAGCATGGAGTTTGTCCAACACCCTAGTTTGGGCAGAACTGATAAAGCCTGTCAATTTCTTTGCGAGACGACTCATTGTTCAAAATTCGCTTGTGCATTGGCTAGGAATCAAACCGAGGCCTCCAACATGGCAAGCTAGAATTCTACCACTGAACCACCAATGCTTACCTTCAAGTTCAAACGACTTCTCAGAGTGTGATTTGCAGCTAACCAATCTGCAGAATTGATCAGGCTTTTGAAGTTCTGTGATTGAAGGATTAATATTCAGAACTCAGTTGTGCATTGTGCAAGGCCTGGTACATGGCATTTGAGAATTCTACCACTAAACCATCAATCCTTCCTTATCTTAAAGAATCAATGACTTTGCAGAGTGTGCTTTTCAGGTAAGTATTGTGCCGCTTCAGCTATTTGGTTTAAAATTGTACAGTAGCATCTCTTGAAGAATCAAACTCTTATCTCAAACAATCAATGACAACGCAGAGTGAGCTTTTCAGGTAAGTATTGTGCTGATTCAGCCATGTGGTTTAAGATTGTAAAGTAGCATCTCTTGAAGAATCAAACTCTTATCTCAAACAATCAATGACAACGCAGAGTGAGCTTTTCAGGTAAGTATTGTGCTGATTCAGCCATGTGGTTTAAAATTGTACAGTAGCATCTCTTGAAGAATCAAACTCTTATCTCAAACAATCAATGACAACGCCGAGTGAGCTTTTCAGGTAAGTATTGTGCCGCTCAGCTATTTGGTTTAAAATTGTACAGTTGCATCTCTTGAAGAATCAAACTCTAATCTCAACCAATCAATGACAACGCAGAGTGAGCTTTTCAGGTAAGTATTGTGCTGATTCAGCCATGTGGTTTAAAATTGTAAAGTAGCATCTCTTGTATATTTCAGCAGCATGGAGTTTGTCCAACACCCTAGTTTGGGCAGAATTGATGAAGCATGTCAATTTCTTTGCGAGACGACTCATTGTTCAAAATTCGCTTGTGCATTGGCTAGGAATCGAACCGAGGCCTCCAACATGGCAAGCTAGAATTCTACCACTGAACCACCAATGCTTACCTTCAAGTTCAAACGATTTCTCAGAGTGTGATTTGCAGCTAACCAATCTGCAGAATTGATCAGGCTTTTGAAGTTCTGTGATTGAAGGATTAATATTCAGAACTCAGTTGTGCATTGTGCAAGGCCTGGTACATGGCATTTGAGAATTCTACCACTAAACAATCAATCCTTCCTTATCTTAAAGAATCAATGACTTGGCAGAGTGTGCTTTTCAGGTAAGTATTGTGCCGCTTCAGCTATTTGGTTTAAAATTGTACAGTAGCATCTCTTGAAGAATCAAACTCTTATCTCAAACAATCAATGACAACGCAGAGTGAGCTTTTCAGGTAAGTATTGTGCTGATTCAGCCATGTGGTTTAAGATTGTAAAGTAGCATCTCTTGAAGAATCAAACTCTTATCTCAAACAATCAATGACAACGCAGAGTGAGCTTTTCAGGTAAGTATTGTGCCGCTTCAGCTATTTGGTTTAAAATTGTACAGTAGCATCTCTTGAAGAATCAAACTCTTATCTCAAACAATCAATGACAACGCAGAGTGAGCTTTTCAGGTAAGTATTGTGCCGCTTCAGCTATTTGGTTTAAAATTGTACAGTTGCATCTCTTGAAGAATCAAACTCTTATCTCAAACAATCAATGACAACGCGAGTGAGCTTTTCAGGTAAGTATTGTGCTGATTCAGCCATGTGGTTTAAAATTGTAAAGTAGCATCTCTTGTATATTTCAGCAGCATGGAGTTTGTCCAACACCCTAGTTTGGGCAGAATTGATAAAGCCTGTCAATTTCTTTGCGAGACGACTCATTGTTCAAAAATTCGCGTGCATTGGCTAGGAATCAAACCGAGGCCTCCAACATGGCAAGCTAGAATTCTACCACTGAACCACCAATGCTTACCTTCAAGTTCAAACGATTTCTCAGAGTGTGATTTGCAGCTAACCAATCTGCAGAATTGATCAGGCTTTTGAAGTTCTGTGATTGAAGGATTAATATTCAGAACTCAGTTGTGCATTGTGCAAGGCCTGGTACATGGCATTTGAGAATTCTACCACTAAACCATCAATCCTTCCTTATCTTAAAGAATCAATGACTTGGCAGAGTGTGCTTTTCAGGTAAGTATTGTGCCGCTTCAGCTATTTGGTTTAAAATTGTACAGTAGCATCTCTTGAAGAATCAAACTCTTATCTCAAACAATCAATGACAACGCAGAGTGAGCTTTTCAGGTAAGTATTGTGCTGATTCAGCCATGTGGTTTAAGATTGTAAAGTAGCATCTCTTGAAGAATCAAACTCTTATCTCAAACAATCAATGACAACGCAGAGTGAGCTTTTCAGGTAAGTATTGTGCCGCTTCAGCTATTTGGTTTAAAATTGTACAGTTGCATCTCTTGAAGAATCAAACTCTTATCTCAAACAATCAATGACAACGCAGAGTGAGCTTTTCAGGTAAGTATTGTGCTGATTCAGCCATATGGTTTAAAATTGTAAAGTAGCATCTCTTGTATATTTCAGCAGCATGGAGTTTGTCCAAAACCCTAGTTTGGGCAGAATTGATAAAGCATGTCAATTTCTTTGCGAGAAGGCTCAATGTTCAAAATTCGCTTGTGCATTGGCTGGGAATCGAACCCAGGTCTCCAACATGGCAAGCTAGAATTCTACCACTGAAACACCAATGCTTACCTTCAAGTTCAAACCACTTCTCAGAGTGTGATTTGCAGCTAACCAAACTGCAGAATTGATGGGGCTTTTGAAGTTCTGTGAGTGAAGGATTAATATTCAGAACTCAGTTGTGCATTGTGCAAGGCCTGGTACATTACATTTGAGAATTCTACCACTAAACCATCAATCCTTCCTTATCTTAAAGAATCAATGACTTGGCAGAGTGTGCTTTTCAGGTAAGTATTGTGCCGCTTCAGCTATTTGGTTTAAAAGTGTACAGTAGCATCTCTTGAAGAATCAAACTCTTATCTCAAACAATCAATGACAACGCAGAGTGAGCTTTTCAGGTAAGTATTGTGCCGCAACAGCTATTTGGTTTAAAATTGTACAGTTGCATCTCTTGAAGAATCAAACTCTTATCTCAAACAATCAATGACAACGCAGAGTGAGCTTTTCAGGTAAGTATTGTGCTGATTCAG